GAATGAGTGATAAATATATGTAGAAAGAAATGGTGGTTAAAAAGTACTGAAAAAGTATTGTTTTTCATAGAAGACATGGTGAATGATGTTGCAGAGAAGGAAGGATATCTAGGATATAGCTGGCAATGGGACACCTCAGTTCACATTATTCAGACCTCACTGAAAGTTGCTGCATCTGTCTCTTCTTTGTCTTTATATATTCTTTCTTTTTCATATTTCCTCCCGTCTTTGTTTGTAAAAGTTAATTATTACAAAAATATACTTTTATATATAATTTTTTTTTTATGTATAATTTTATTTTTATATCCTCAGTAAATTTTATTTTTTATGTCTTTATATATAATTTTATTTTTTTCTTCTAAAGTACACAAATTCATTTTTTTGTAATAATTTTAATTTTTTTAATTTATGTCAAATAAATGAAAATTAAATTAGATCTAAGTCTCTTTATTATTAAAAAGAGAAGTTATATAAAAGAAACATTTTCTTTATATAATAAGGGTGTCAAGTCAGCCTACAACACAAGTATTAAAATTATAATATTTTATCAAATGAAAATAAACTAATTGAGGAGACATTTCTATTAAATGACCATTCTTCTGCGTTTGAAAAGTTTATTATGATATAATATAATAAAAGTGTGCATTGTATCATTCAAGGTTTGTAGTGAAGGCTAGAAATTGTAATAGTAATAGGTGTGGGGTTCATCATCCCATCTTTATTCAGTGCTTTAATCAATTTGAATTTGGCTCAACCATATAGAACCTGCACTTTGCATAAAACTCTTTCCTTCAAATCATTGCTCCATGCTTATCTCACTTTTTCTCTAAACTTTCCATCCTTATGCAATAACTTTTTTGAAACAATTGAAAAAGGAGAGAATGACAAATTAATGTTCCTAATTATATGAAGAAAAAGATAAAAAAAAAAATAATAAATGGAAAAAGATGGAAGATAAAATAAATGTTATGATTAAGTAAAAATAATCTAAACATAAAAACTACTCCATTAGACATATACTTAATTAAAATTAAGACTTTACAATCTTCAAATAGTTTATTTTACTTCAAATGAAATTTCCGACATTGTTAATCTGAAATTTCCGACATTATAATCCGACAACATAATAGCAGCGAATTCATATGGCTGCAAACTGCTTAATTTGATAATTATAACTTAACAAAATGTTTTTTAGGCTGAATATGATACCTATCATAGAGCAATTTTAGTGCACGATGTTCACTTTCAAGTTGAGAAATTAATAAAAAAAATGTAAGAATACGTCAAACATCAACTAACAAAGCAATATAATAATAAAGATAAAATATAAATAAATACTTGTTGTGTAACTTAAAACTAAAATTTATAATTTATTAAATACACAAATTGAAAAAATTTAAATAAGTGTGTTTCGTTAACCGCACTGTTAAGCCTTCCATTTTCATTTGTTAATGAAAACATTGAAATAATAATAATAATAATAATAATAATAATAATAATAATAATAATAGTAATAATAATAATAAAAAATATGCATATTGAAATTGTATAAGATATAATAATAATGCTAAGGATGGATGGTGGTTGGATCAAATGGCTTGGTACCCACATCATGTCATAATACCACTCCTTTCTGTTTTTTTTTCACTAGAGATTACTAAGTGATTTTAAAATATTATACTTTGACAAATGACAATTATTGTTTTAAAAATATTGATTAAAAACTAAAGTGACTAATTTTATTGGAATATGTAATCGAAATTTTATTAATTAGTAATTTTTATTTTGTAAATTTTATTTTTTAACTTTTCTCATGTTTTATCACCAACTTTATAGTTTTTATATATCTTATGGAAGTTTTAAACTTCAGATAAAAAATCACGTGTGATGAAAAATATTAAAATAACATAAGATCAAAATAGTTTTCTTAAAATAAATAACAAACTAATATTTTTTTCTTTTTTAAAACGTCATTGTCTCATTATAAATTTAGTAAAAGATGAATGAATTTTTTTTTTATAAAATATGAAAAATAAACTTAAATAAGATAGTATATAAAATAATAATAGTTGAATTGTAAAATATATAACTAAGTTTAATTTCTCTAATAAATTTTGATACTATTTCTAATAAAAAAATTATCCTTTTAATTTACAAATTAATATTGTAAGTGATAATAAGACACTTATCCTGTGTGTGTGTCTATATATATATATATATATATATATATATATATATTTGTGTTGTAAGATTGTGTGGTAAACTATAAATTTAAATGTATAAATATTGATCCAGAAGGTTAATAAATCGTAATAAAGAAATATTTAATGATTTGTTTGGATGAGCATTTGAACCAATGAAAAGTGGCCATGTCAACAAATCGTGGGCCCTACATTATAAAATAAAATTCTAAATTGAAGACCGTAAGCAGCTGGTTATTGAGCCGAGATGAGAGCCGTCCTATATTCTTGGGCCGGGCACGCATATGCTCAGTGAAGGCCCATAGTGGGGCCCACCAAAATGAAAACGGATCTTTCTCCAGTCATAGTTCAAACTCTGTTTTGCGTTTTTACTTGTGGAAGAAATTACCATCAATGTATAAACATGGTTTGAAAAAAATATAATTTTCAATAAGCTATTAGGTGTCACGATCTATTTTAAGAATATTTTTTTCTGCATATTTATATGATAATATGCAGCTTTTTAATCTCAAATTCCCAATTAAAAAGACTGTAATCTTTATATAAGTTTTATGCACACACAATTAGTATGCCGTTTAATCAGTCATGATACAAGAGATTTAAAGTCAGAAAAACAATTTGTATTCTTATTATTATCTAGTGTTTTACCTGGAATGTTATTTTTTATTTCAAGATCTTATTTTAAGGATCTCTTATGTGAATTAGTAATTTTTTTTCTCATAATAAGATGTACGTTATGATGTTGATATTTAAAAATGTCATATATAAAAATAAAAGAAGTGGTTTAAATGGAATATAAAGCCAAAATATTGAAGTGAAACTTTATTATAAATGGGAGAAAAAAAACAAGAGTAGATGAAAAAGATAAGAAGGTGAAAATGACATTTGAGTGAAGGGTTTTGGATAGAATTGAAAGTGTGAAGTGGGATGAATGGTAGATACCTTCAACACTTTGTATCCACCTACAATTCCTCTACTTAACTTATAACTGCTATTTAATTTACTATTCAATATTGTCAATAATTTTTTATATTTTTTAAAGACATTAAAAGAAATATATTTGAATTAAACTAAATCATACTGAATTGTGTAAAAGATTGAATTATTAAAAAAACTGAACCAACTTATGTTAACTTAATTTTTAAAAACTAAATTATTCTTAAATAAAACTATTTACAAAATAAGCTGAATTATGAGATTAAACAATATATTAATAAATAAACAAACAAGATATTCACTATTAATAATTTAAACAATTCTCATCGTTCAAAAGCATTTAGCATAACATGTTGAAGTCAGACTTAATATTTTTTAATTTGTATTAAAATCATACTTACAAATACGAATCTTAATTTCAAAAGAAGCTTAAAATTGTATTTATAAACACGATTCAATATACACTAAAAAAATCACTAAAGTTCTATTTATAAACACGCCTTCATCCAAAATTTAAAATATAATAATCTAAAGTTAGGTTTTTAAACAATGACTTCTAAATAAAATACATTTAAACTGGTACGTACGGCCAAGATAAGATTTTAACATTAAAAAAAAGGCATGTTTTAAAATAACGTTTTTTTATGAAGATGTTGTTCTAAACATAACTTACTTATTTACTAAATTTAGAAAAAAATTGCACTATAATTCTTCTTTGGCCCTTAAACTTCTTTATTTCTTATAATGAGTTATTGATGTAAAAGTAAAAACCTTTATAGGTCATAAGTAACAGAGAATAAATTCCATAAAAAAGTTTTAATTTTTAGGTTCATGAATGGAAACAAAATAACAAAGAAGTGCAATTTCATTAAACACATGAATCAGGATTCTGACATATATTAACCTTCACAAATATTGATACTTGAAACCAATAATGTAGTAAAAAAAATGAGTATTTAAAGCTTAAACTTCATGGCCAGTTAATCTTAACGGAACACGTCATGAACGAATAGATTTATTGACAAGACACAATATCAATCAGACTCTAATAATATTTTAATTCGACACTATTTTCTATAAAAAAACCTTAAATGAATGAATCAATGACTCAGATGTCGTCCAATGAAACATGAATGGTGTGAAATAAGAGAGAAAGACTAGAGTTGAATGGTATGAGAAGCCATTGAATGAAGTGTAATGATGGGGTGCATGTGAGGAGCTCATGAGAAGTGAGACCCCTCCTTCGTTGTCTCCATGAGAGCAATGCAATGAAATCAAACCAACTCAACTCTTATAAAGTTCAGACATAACCACAAACCTGACCAGACACATTTTGCCATACCAAACACCTTTCTCTTTCTCCTAATTTCTGCTACTCTGCCACCACTTTTCCTGTTCCATTATTCCCTTAAGAATAATACTATTCCCAAACCATTTTCTCATCCCCACTTTTCATAAGCTGTTATATACAAAGAAAGTTACAGTATTTTAAATGAGATACAAAGATGTAAAAGCCTCTGTATTATGTACTTCTTACTAAAAAAATTTGAAGTGTTGCATTTCAAGATGGAGCATTTCAAACTGCAGAAAGTTGAATCTTACACGTCAGTACTGTGGTTCTGATATAATCAGTAGATTCCTCAAAGAATTTACCACTTCGACTTAAACAATTACGATAGTAGAAAGTGAAAAACATCACAAGGCTATGATTAAAACTATGATTAACAAAAATCTTTGGAAAGAGAGTGATGCTGGAATAGGTGCTCTCACTTTCACTGCAACTTTACAGTGCGCATGGAATATCCATAAGCAACCAAAAAGAGGTCAGAGCTTTCCCCACTTAAAAAGCATACAAAAAGATGATAAAGTATTCAATTAGCTGAGATTCAAAATTTTCATGTTCCCGTCTGCAAAAATATAGTCTTACACACCCATTAGCCTTATCTTTTCCAAAAACCATTGTACTGCTCAAAAACTGTCAAAGCATATTATATACCCTCTCCTTTTTCTCATAATACATGATCGATGCCTATTTATTGTAGCATTTCCTGACATAGTTGCTCAAGTTCCGATATTTTTATTCTAAAAGCTTGTACCTTTTGTTCTTCCAATCTATATAAGCTTCCATTCAACATACACACTGCATCCTCAGTACTTGTATTCCATGGCATCTGAAGGTACAATGTTTATTCTCTCGCTTTTTTCTCTCGTAAGTTTTTAAACGTATCTGGTCAATGTTTTGAAGCACAGAACTGAACTAAACTTAAAGTCATTGTGTTACTATTCATAATGAAACAGTACATAAAATTCAGTTGCCCAATCTGACATAAGCTTTGGTTGTTTTCTTTCCCTTTATCACAATCTTCATCCTACTCAGTTGAAGAAGGCAGCTAATGCTACACCCTGTTCAGTTCCTGACCCAAGCAAGGATTCTACTCATCCTTTTGGCTCTTGGTTTAGTTTTCTTGTTCTGGAAACAGCTAGATCTGGCATTGGTAAGCTCTTTAACACTATAATCATATCTGTACCTTAACATATACTTTTTAGTTTTTCACACATGTAGACAGTAGACAGTCCTGTTTGAGACATGGTATGTATCTGCTACACATAATAATACATTTGGAAATGTATACGTTAATTTTGGCTTCTGATATATGTCTTCAACATGATGTATAGGTGATTAAGAAGGATCACTTTGTCTTTCAACTGTCATTTGGATCTCTTTTAGTTTCACTTCATCAGTGATTGTTGTCAAGTAATCAATCATCTATGGACGGTCTAAGTTGGGATTCTTCATCACAACTTGTTGGTAACATACCGATCTTGTGGAGCAGTCAGCCTCAGGACCTTGAAGGAGAGTATCATCATTCGATGCCACACCTTTGTTCGAGTGTTCACAATCAAACATGTTATCCGTATCCAAGTTCTGAAAAAGCGAGGGAGATGGTTCATCCATCCACTTCTGAGATAATGAGTATCTTGCCAAATATGAATCTGTCACAAAGAACAGCAACCATGCCTGTGAAATCAGGAGCAGTTGGAGCCAGTTGGGGAGAAGCTTTAACATCTCAATCATGCCCGTCCCTTTCGGCGAATATGAACCAAACTAGCAATTATGTAGCAGATTTCAACATGGCCCACCAGCAACAACACCTTATCAGCGGCACGCAAAACGTCAAGGCTACCTGCTCTCTCGAGTCACTTGATTGCTTGCTTTCAGCTACTAAGAATGGCAACACAGACACGTCTCTCGAAGATGATGGGATTTCCATGATGATTTTATCTGACTGCAGAAACTTATGCAACTTCAGTTATGGCAGTGCAGTCTCCTCTGGTGAATCTGAGAGCAATGCTTCCAATGCCAGAAACAGTGACATGAGGTATGCATCAGTGAATGAGCTGGATGAAGCAGCGTCTCAAAGCTTCTCTGATCAATATATCAGTCAAGGAAGAGTTATAGATTCTGAAGTTATTTGCACAAAAGGGAGCAATTCATGCTTCAGCGTTGCTCAGAATTCTTTTGCCACCGAAGGTGGTTTCAGGCTCATCTCAGAGACTTCACCAAAGTTCAAGAGACCCAGATGGAACAGGCATCCTGGTTCATCAAATATCAACTTCCAGCAGCCAAATTCATCCGTGTCACCTTCCTTTGAAGAACCTGATCCAGAGGCCATAGCACAAATGAAGGAAATGATATATAGGGCTGCAGCTTTTCGGCCAGTGAACTTGGGATTGGAAGTGGTGGAAAAGCCTAAAAGGAAGAACGTTAGGATATCAACTGATCCACAGACTGTGGCTGCCAGGGAAAGAAGGGAGAGAATAAGTGAGAGGATTAGGGTTTTGCAGAAGATTGTGCCTGGTGGAAGCAAGATGGACACTGCATCAATGCTTGATGAAGCTGCAAACTACCTCAAGTTTCTCAGAGCACAAGTTAAAACACTAGAAAATTTAGGTAACAAGCTTGACACAATGAATTGTCCTCCTAACATAGCCTTCTCTTTCAACCCTTCTTTTCCCGTACAAACACATTTCCCAGTCCAAAACCCTAGCGGGAACACCTACAACCAACAGTCCAAGGGTAGGAAATGATTATTATCGTGAAAGAGAAGAAAAAAAATGTAAAAAAAAGGGTCTGAGAACCCATAACCTCTAATTATATTCCATTCGTGACTTTGATTAGCATATGTTCATATGTCCTAGCCAAAACTTCAATTTTGCTATATGTGCTATAATTTTTCTTCATCAATCACGACAATTCTAGTTGCTATCATAAATTAAGGGCATGCAAAGAGTGAGTGAATTAAGGTACTTTTGTCTAAACTAAAGCTTTTAATGCTTCCACGACATTGAATTTTATTTTCAAGAAGGAAAGATGGTTATTGTAAAAGTAGTGAAAGTAAAGGAAGCAAATTACACAACCTTTTAGCTTACAGAAAGGTCTAGCAATTATAACACCCATGATTAAGATGAAGGGCTAGAAAGTGATTGCCACTTTAAGTTGGTTTTAAACTAGTTTAATGCAATCCATGTACTTAAAAGTGCTTTTCTTTTCTTGGAGATCTTCAAGGTAGATGAATAAACAAACGATAGAGACATTCTCTCAAGAGTAGTGAACTGAGTCAGTGGTCCTGTCTCCTTGATTCAACCCAAAGCGTGCTCTCGAAAATCACTCTAAACTCATTGCCGAGCACGTGTATATTCTTCTTTTTTGGCAGGGGTGTTTGTCATGAGCAATAGATAAAGGAAACCCGTGTGTCTTATTAAAAGGTTCCAAGTAGGTCTTAAATATTAGTGTAACTAATGATATTGTTAATGATGATGAATATGATAACGACGGCTACAACGAAACATGATGTGGGTTTGGCGAAAAAGGGGTTGAAGATGGATTATTTTACTTTGGCTCGAATATCTTAGCTAAGCACATGCCTCTTTGCAATGCTACTGTATCTGCATGTGGCAATGAAACCCTTTCGGCCTTTCGTCTGTCATGCTTTAGAATTATTCCCACTTTTTGTTTACCATTCATCATCACCAAGTATAAAACTCTACATGATCTCCCACTACTTCTTTCACTCTCGAGTTTAACATATAAAACCAGCATCTTCTTTTTCTATTCTCTAAAATCTAATGTCTCTAGCTTTGTATGACACAGATTGATGTTATATATTTCTAGCAAACTCCTACCTCTCCTTCAGAGATCACTGCTACTCAAAACACTATAACACTAAAGTTAGTAACTTCAAAATCTATATTTAAGACCAAAGGTACGTATAAAACACAAACCTATATATTAGTCCAGAAACTTTACACAATTCATCTTGTTTGTGTAAGTTTCGAAACATAAAAGAAATAGCTACATGAAATAATATAAACATGGCTTGATGTCATGATTCCTGTTCTTTTTTTCCTCACTATTTTCTATTCAGTTCATTTACTTCCTGATATGATACAAAGCAATGCTAAACAAAGTAAGATAGTTTTTTTTAAAAGTAGCAAAAAAGTATCAATAAAATATTACATTCTCCTGTTAAATTATATAAATAAATTATTTCTTAGTTGAGCATTGCTTTGTATCCGGTTGAGGAAAAAAATAAGGAATATTTAAATATTTTCTAGATATTATTTTATGATTTATATCATATTAAATTGAAAATGTGAAAAAAATGTGATTAATTAAGTTTTGAATATTTTATAGACTATTTTCAATTGTTTCTTTATTAAAAGATTTTGTTGAATTATTTTATTTTTGTTTAATTTTTTTTGTTAATGATGTGTTTCAATATTTTAAAATCTATTGCTTAACTCATTATTCTAGTTAAAAATGATAAATAAATTCGTAAACATTATGTAAACCTATCTTTATTTTATCATTTAATTAAGTATGAGGATGAGATTAATATCTAGATATTTTTTTTCCCTCGTACCTGTCTTAATACTCATCTTTATCTTTGTACTATTATAATAGTATACTTCTAATATTTTTATTCTTTTATCATAATCTTAATTATATAATTTATTTGTATGTTATGCTAAAGTTATATGATTAATTTTAATAAATTAAATAGTTTTTAAGTCGAATATTTAATTATTTTTATTTATTTTAACATTTTTATTTATTATTTAATTTTTAAAATAACATGTTTGGCTATCAATTTGAAGTGTTGCATAAACACTTCATTTAAATAGTTATAAAAGACTTGTCTTGTTATTCTCTTTCTCTTTTATCCTTAATTTTTATTTTATTTAAAGAATTTTTGTTTTACTAAAATAATTTTTATTATTTGTTAATGCGTAGACTAATTTGGTCATTTGACATTTTTTTTACATTTTATTATTGTTTATTTTTATAATGTAGAATTCTCTTTTCTTTAAGATTTTTTTATATAATTATTTTCATTTTCTATCTTATAATTTTTACCAAATGACTTTTTTCTTTATTATAATATAATAATTTAACAATGATGAATATTATTTATTGTTAAAGTTAAAAAAGATAAAAGATCTAGTTCTAAACTCCAAATACTTTTTTTTCTATGCCATTTTGTTTAAGTTGTGTATTATATATATTTTATTAGTGTATACGAAAGAAATTTTCTTAGAATTTACAGAAAGAAAGTAAAAATACATTTGAAATATTTTTAAACTTGAATATTTTTAAAATTAATAAACATTTTGATTGTGGTGAAATTTTATTTATATGTAGTGTGTAATATTTTATATAATTTTTTTCACTTTTTCTCCATTATTATTTGGTATTCTAATTTAAAATTTATATAATTATATTTTTCTTTTAAATATTTGATATTGAAAAAAATATAATGTTAATTTTTTTTCTTTTTTTGATGACTTTTTTAATTATTCATGGCATCTAATTATGAATAGATACTTCAAAAATTAGGATTCATATTCAAAATGAGAGAATGCATATATACAATGAAGACCCAGAAAAATTATTAATAGAAAGTAATGTTAATTTAGATATAATAATTTATAATATGATGAATTATTGATATTTGAGTATCTTGTGATGATGTAATACTTTAATATAAAGTACGTTTATTTCAGAATTATTTTAAAATATGTTGTACTTGTGACGTGTGTTACATAAGAACATGGTTTTTAATACATTTTACAATATTGTATCATAAATGATTTACAGAATATAAACAAAATAAGAAATAAAGAAAGTGATAAAGAATTTAAAATAAAGGCGTAGGTTATCATGATTAATATATTTAGTTAGATTTTTTTTTGTAGCATTTGGAAAGATGCAGCAGTATATGTTATTTAGTATTTACTTTCAGTAAAGTTGAGTTTTCCCATCTTCCTTTTTTTTTTTTTTAATTCTCATTGCATCTCTGACTCCCCTCGCTCCTGTTCTTCATTTTGCACATACTGCAATGACTTTTTTCAAAAACTGGTTCCAAACATCAATCTCGTATTTGCACAAGGTTAGATTTTTATTTCTTGTATCCATTTAAACAATTATAATTGGTAGTTAACATGTTAATTTTTTATTTGTAAAAATTGGAACTTTCCAAAGGAAATAATAAAATTATTAACAAAAAACTATAAAGATTACGCGAGATACAAAATAGTGAGTAGATAAATTATAAATTATTTCAAATAACGAATTTAAAGATAAAATAAAGCAGAAGATTTCTAAGTTGTTCTCCCTTTTTTAAAAATAGTTTGTTTGCTCCATAACGTGATAAAAAAAATTACTAAGTTAGAATTTCTGCAAAGTAAGAAAGTTATTAGCAAAATAATACAAATTTAACATGTTACAGAATTCCGAGAAAATAACTTGTCAAATAATCGAAATAAAAATTTTGTAGATAAACTTAAGTAGAAAAAAAAAATTCCTTACTGTTGTCTCTTTCCTTAGTTAATTTCATTTGTACTTGAAAAAGATGCAAAAGAAACATTTGAAAAGTTGGACATAATCATTGAGAAATTTTTATCCATAGATACCTTAAAAAAATGAATTATAAATGATTTCAAGTACCAAAAATTGATTACCTAGGTCTGAGAGGATGTTGGATGTTCAAAATCAGTCATTTAAATATGTTTACTTTTAGAATAATCAAGTTAAGAATAACAATAATGATTATTTCTAATTGGTTTAGTGTAATTTTTTTCACACTGATAATAATAAACTTGTACATTTACACCAAAACTTTTCCAAATTCACTATCTCACTAGAGAGCTCAGTCCACTAATTCCATCAAAGGAAACAGTGATTGAGCTGTTGGATGAACTCTTAAGATTGTCAGAGTTAAAGGGAGGAATAATCTCGTTTGACAAACACTGTTTCAGTTCGTGAACTACATGACTCATGGTTGGCCTGTTAATGGAAATGGGTGCTACACAAGCCATTGCAATGTCTAAAACCTTCTTTACAGAATCAATGTCAAATTCTCCCTGCAATCTTGAATCTACAATATCTTTGATCTCCTTTTCAAGAAGCTCAGAATCAACCCATTGAATTATGTGAATTTTCTCTTCAGATTTGGTTATAGCAGGTTGACCTGTGATTATCTCAAGCAGTACTACTCCAAAACTGAAAACATCACTTTTTGCCTTCAACCTGTTTGATCTATGGTACCTGACGAATAGAAATTTAAAACTCAATTTAAATGAAATGTTGTTGTCTTAAGACTCTTGACTTTTGCCACCAGGGTTTGAGTAAAAATAATAACTTACTCTGGATCAAGATAACCAAGGGTGCCAGCTACCACTGTGACCATATGGGTGTCACTTTCATTAGGATAGATCTTTGACAACCCAAAATCAGCTAGTTTACCCCTCAAATTTTCATTCACCAAGATGTTTTGAGTCTTAACATCTCTGTGAACAATTGGCGCATTGCAGCCATGGTGCAAATACTCCAATCCTACAGTTAAAGTTTCAACTTACATTTTTGTTGCATAAAACTCTCACTGTAAAGAAAGAGGGGAGGGGCAAAAGGATTCATTCCATACTTACCTTCTGCAGCATCCACTGCAATTTGAAGTCGTTGGTTCCAACTCAATATAATTTTGCTTTTGCCTACATTTTTTTGAATCCACAAAGGAAAGCACTTGTTTCAAATCAGGGAAATAAAAGAAAAGGCATCAGGTTTTGGCACAGAATGATATAAAAGATTTTTTCCAGTACATACACCTGATCTTTGACTCACTTTTATGCTTCGTTTAAATATATCTGCTTTGACTTGATTGGTTTGTTATATTTTATTGGCATTCATTCACTGTTTAGAGTTTTTTTGCAGATAATTGAGACACCTACAGAATCAGAAGCCTGTACTTTCTACCAGTACCTTTTTGATCTAGCAATGTGGATACAAACTTGAACACATTATGTAGCTGCCCCTAAATTGTCATACAGGGAGGTACAAAATTAAATGGAGTAAATAGACCTTAAAAAATACCTGATAAATGTTTTGAGAAGTCTCCATTAGCCATATACTCATAGATGAGAGCCATTTTCTCGCCATCATCACAATATCCTATTAGAGAAGTTAAAAATTTATGATGAACTACAGCAACAAATTTGGCCTGTAAAAAAAAAAGCAATAACCCTTCAATTACCATAAACAAAATATCATTAATGAGTGTGTGTATATATATAATTATGATCATATTTGAAGTCAGCCATAGTACCTCTGCCTTAAATTGCAGATACCCTTGGGCTGAAGGAGAGAGCATTTTGACAGCTACCTCAGTATCATCTATCCGGCCATAGTAGACTGTTGCAAATCCTCCTTTCCCTACAACTCTTTCTAAATTTTTGGTCATTGTCAGGACTTCGGCATAGGTGAATTCTTGTTTATTAGACTCTAGTTCCTCCTTTATTCTGGAATAGGCCATCTGTTTTCTCCGGAGAGCTGAAACCGTGGGAAGAAAGAAACACTATCAAAATCCATGCAAATAACTGCTAATTGTTGTACACTAGTCTACAAAATAAAAATGCAATTGAAAATATACAATGTAGAAATCAACTTAAATTTCATTCATTGAGTTCTTTTTATACTATTAAACAATTAAAAATCAACTTAAGAATGTCAATGTGAAAAACCTTCCCACTTTTACTTTGAAGAACGGTCCAAACTATTGGATTCTTTGGAACTCGATCACACTCCAATTAGAATAAATTATCTTCTCATTTTACTTTTGTATCCCCTATTTTTCCTTCCCTCTTGGCGAATAGAATATAAATACAACATGGTACCTAGTTGTCTCCTTTTGTGTATGCAGAAAGAAATCACTGCTATTATTAGTATCAGAAAAGCTCCTCCCAGCGATGCCACCAGTGGAACTATAACCCTGTTGCCATTACTATTGTTGCATGAACCTTGTGTGCAAAGATCTGGATTTCCACCAAAACTGCACTTACCATTTAAAAAATAAACATGTTAGGGGAATTGTCTCACCAATGGTAAACCAACGTAATAAGCCATTCCTCATATTGTTGTAAGAAAATGAGTAACTCATGGGGAACGAAGTCAAAACAGAGAGGCAGGGCATTATCCAAAACTGAATTTTGAAACAGAACATACTTGGATTGAAGTAAACCGTTCTGGGAAAGTTGAATGAGTTGCGTTGGAATTGTTCCTGATAGCTGATTGTTTTCTAGGTTTCTAAACAATTAAAGCAACAAAGTTAATTAAAAAATCAAATTCAGCAAGGAAAGCTTGATCAATATAGTTAACTTACAGAACTCTTAAGAAGCGTAGTTGATGTAGGAAATCAGGCACGGCCCCGGTCAAGTTGTTGTTTGACAAATCCCTAAAATAATAGAAACAAATTTCTTATACTCTACATTAGGAGGAAGCATACACTTTCTGTCATCAACTACGTAACTTGCTATTTGTAAGAGGCAGATTCAGTGACTCACAAATATTCTATGTACTGCAGATTGGATATGCCAGAAGCTATATTACCAATTAAACCACTGGAAGATAAGTTCCTAAAATCATGTCGTAAGATTTTGTTAATAATATTGAAGATATAAGCGTAAATTTGAGCTAAAAGTACTGCATCAGTCTAGTATAATTCACGCCAAGCTTACAAGTATACAATCTTTGCTGAAGCAGATTCAGCATAGCTGCAGTTAAGACCGTCCCACAAGTAGACCAGTGGAGTACAAGGATCTCCTTGCCAGTTTCTCTTGATTCCATACATTGACTTGACATTTCTGATACCATCAGCTATTATCATGAATATAAGTAGGTCAGGTGAGTAATATAATAAGGTGATACAAGAAAGAAAAATCAGTGTGTCTAAGAACATACCGTCTTTCTGATTTGTTTCTGATTGTGAGAAGTTTCTTGACGTATATATCTCAATGGCGTTGAGAAGAGGTGGAAGAGTTGATCTACTAGTTTTATTAATCGAAAGTTCCAACGAATTTACGCTTATAGCCATATAATACTCACTCTGCAGGTACGGAGGATTGATTGGATCAATATTTAAAATGTTCCCATTTACAAAAATGTTGAACTCTCTAGTTTGGTTTGCCTCAAGCTTCTGGATTTCAGCAAAGAACATGTACACATAAAGTGTGGAAGAATTATACATGGGAACGAAGCGGAGCTCTATATTGTCGGTGACATTTGCTGGAATTGCTGCAGTTCCCATGACAATGGAGGGTGGCAATGGTAAAAAGTTAAATGAAGTAGCACCTTGGTCTATGGTAAGGAGGGTATCTATCTGATTCCAGTCAGTTGAGTTATAAGGCGTCCATATTCTATCATAGACATCATCTGGAAATCTTTGGGAACAGAAAAAGAGGGAAAAACATCAGAACATTACTACATTAAAAGAAAAGAAGTCATGTCATGTTCATGATATAACTTGGTTGGTTACATTATAACATTTCTCACCTGACTATTTCACCATCTTGTAAGCCTGCATCAAGCCTTGCCAAGAGCTCCCCATAGTTGACTAGGTAGGCATCACTGTTAAGAACTCTAACCTCTAAAACTGAAATAAAAGGTGTACCCTTGCCAGTGTTGAATAAACAAACATGAACGTAATCTGAGGAAGCAGCATAAATGATTTCCTTGGTGACTACACTGGATGCATCCTCAAACACCACTGATCCCCACCATTTTTCTCCGATATAAATGTCAAATTCGGGAAGAGATTCTTTTCCGTCGTAACTTCCATATGCAAACCTTGCCCTCACCAAATATTTATTGCCACTTCCTTGAGAAACCAGGGTATAGCAGTGCCTGGTTCCATCGGGAAAGCTTCTAACATTCCAGAACTGTCTTGCAAGGGAAGGCTTATATGTAGATGATACGCTGTAGCTTACACCACCGTCTGTGAAATTGACATCCGAAGAGTAAGAGATGTCGGTAGTTTCATCTGTATAGCTTGGTTCATCCACAAGTCCGCAGTCAATGCTGACGAATCCTGTAAAAGGTGGAAGTTTTTAAGTTCCAAGAACCCTGAGTAAGTGTAGGATTCAGGATAATGAGATGAAACTATCGAACCTGATGGATTCTGGGCACGAACAATGATAGAAAGAATTAAAGAGAGTTGAAAAATCACAAGTAGAAATCCTTTCATTTCTAAACTAAGTAAACTGAAAACACCTCCCGAGATTGAAGAATGTTGTGAGAAGAAGTCATTAACAGTGATTAAGCTAATGATGATTTTCATTTGAATGTTGAAGTCAAGTATCTCTGCCGATTGAATATTAAAAGCCACCGAGTTGAATAGTTCAAGTAGCTTGTACAAATTTCTTTGCTTAAATTATTATTGTAATGGAGGAAGGAACTTCAATTGATATTTTTTTCAGGATAATTTTGATTGTTACAACAAGAATGAGAATAGGCGTTTGACTTTCATTCTAGGCATCCTTAAGATGAACATGTTTTGCTTATTCCCAGTTGAATCATGGTATTATTTTAAAAAATTGAAGAATGGGTTTTTTGGTAGATGTGGCAAAGTTGTGAAGCTTGACCAGATGAATCAACTCAAAAAGTTTAGCTATTTAGCTTTGCCAAGTAGTTTTCACAGCTTAGAAAATATATATACGTGTCCTAACGCAGCTCCCGTTAAAAATGAGTTATCATTTTTTAATGATTGACCATGAACTGTTTTAACAAATAATTAATTAAATATAATTTTTTAAAATATAAATTAAAATATGTATGTTTTAATAAACCATTTTCATTTTATAATTTATTAAATTTTAAGCACTTGATGAATTTAAATATTTTAAATTATGATAACTTTACGTATTTTAATTAAATTGATATTAAATATTTTATCTATTGAGTTTAAAATATCCGTTTGATTGATTTTCCTTTAATTGGTTGATGTAAAGGAGTTGATACGCTTGTTACTTCTATGCTTTTTTAACTTGGTCAAAAGACCAATTTTTTCAAAACAGAAATGGACGATCCACTGGTGTAGAAAATCTATATTTATATCATTAATGATGAAAATTCATCTATTTTGTGTACACAATTTTTTTAATTTTTTTGAATTACTAATTATTTAAACAATTATTTTTTAAATTTAAATAATTACTTATAATAAAAAACTTATTTTTCAATTTTACATTTTAAATAATCATTTTTTTTACACATTACGCACGGGCGTTTCCACTAATTATTGATAAAAAAGAAATTATACGAAATATTATGGATAAAGAAGCATGTGTCTCTTACTATTTATCTTATTCTATTTGCACAATCAATTTCAATCACCAATACTTTATACAGTTACAAGGAAGACAAGTAATACATTTAAGTACATCACTCAAATTAAAGGAGTATTCAGAAATTGTGCAACAAAACTTTGAGTTTGCAATATTTTGTAGATTATTATACATTAAAATCAAGCAAATATAGAGAACTTGTGTAGGTTTGACATTGAAAGAGGAAAACCACTTACCATAGTCATATAGACCTTGCTATATGATTGTAGCCATCATATTCTGCTGAAGAGTTCACCTGGCATGAGGAATAAATTCTGTATTCAGATTCAAGGTCACCCCTGAATCTGTTGAATACATACTTCTATATTTTGTTTGAGCTACTTCCATTGATAAAGACTCTTTCAGTTCAATCACTATCACGCTTGTGATAGGCCTTTTGTTCATATTTGGAGACACACATGCTGTTGCTACTTCTACTGCTTTCCAAACTGAATTGGTATCATAATCTCCTTCTAGCCTTGAGTCAACAATGGCCTCGATATCCCCTCTCGCAACCAAGGATCTAACCCAGTCACTTATGTGAATACTTTCTTCACCATCCCTCATTATCACTGGTTGATTTGTGATTATCTCCAAAAGAACAACACCAAAACTATAAACATCACTCTTATCTGTCAATCTGTTTGTTATGAAGTACCTGCATTACAAAAATAAAATGTTACTCTATTTATTTATTTTCCCAGAAAATGATGAACAGGAACAGGACAATGTAATTGAAGTACTCACTCAGGGTCCAGATAACCAGGAGTACCAGCAACAACAGTTGACACGTGAGTTCCCCCTTCGGTTGGAATAATTTTGGACAGACCAAAATCGGCTAGCTTTGCTTGGAAGTGTTCATTCAATAAGATGTTTGTAGATTTTATGTCTCTGTGGATTATAGGTGGCTTGCAACCATTTTGCAGATAATCCAAACCTGAGATTGGATTTAAGGCAACCAGATTGTGAGGGGAAAAGGGGAGTTTACAAAACTGTCAAAACACATAATTTGAAGTTTTCTTTCTGACCTAATGCTGCATCCACTGCTAGACGAAGTCTTTCTTCCCAGGTGAAGAATTTTGCTTTGCTGTGACTACCTGAAAAAACAAGTTTACTTAGCTTTTTCTGTGTTGTTTTCTGTTAATTTATGACTCAATATGCACTTTTCTCCTAAGGAAATATTCATATTCATGGTTTCAGAATATAAAACAATTTATTTGCAGAATTTTATATGGGAACTAACCAGAGAGATGTTCTTGTAAGTTTCCATTAGCCATGTACTCATATATGAGACCCTTTGTGCTTTCTTCATTACAATAACCAACAAGGGAGGTTAAATTTTTGTGATGAACTCTCATTAGAAGTTTAACCTGTACATCAAAATCTCAAACATGTTTAAGCATATCTTTTTATTTCTGAGATAAAAGTACAAGTGTAAAGTGATAGAGAAACTTGCCTCTGCCTGAAATTGTTGAAAACCCCGGGCAGACAATGAGGAAAGGATTTTCACTGCAACTGGAGTGTCATCGATATGACCAAGATAAACAGTTCCAAATCCTCCTCTACCGAGAGTTTTATTGAAATTGTTGGTGATTTTAAGGATGTCGGAGTACGAATAAATTTGTTTTCTGAATGGTAGTATTAAATCATCTTGTTCTGTGTTTTGTGGTGAGATCTGACTTTGATCCTTTTCTACTATCAAAGCTGTTAAATATCATGCAACAGTTTCGAAAACTAACAGGTTAGGATTGAATCTGTTTGACAAATTATCAATAAAAGTATCTTTGTAGCATCACCTTTCATTTTTCTCCTTTTAAGCGTCCATAATATAGCTGCTGCGACAATGAGAAGGATCACAACCCCACTAACTGATGCTACTAAGGGTGTAACATTTCTCTTTTTCTTTCCACCATCTTTGCCCTGCTCGTTGCATTGACCAGATTCACAGAGATTTTGGTCCACACTAGCATGGAAAACACAGAAGGTTTATGTTTTAACTCTCAGTAAAACTAAGGAAAAGCATAAGTGACACCACCTTCAACCGAAATCCCCGTAATAAATTTATGAGTTTTCTTACTTATATAATGCTTTATTTTCTTATTTTTACTTTTAATATGAAACTCATACTTGGATTTTCAATTCATAATAAGTTTGACTATAAGATAAAAACAAAATATTGGAGATGGGTAAAGAAGATTTATGTACAAAAGTAAAATAAAACCAATTGATAATGATCACCATAAATAATGATATTATGAATTTGAGAATTTTCAATAACATCCTTACCTTAATGACAAAGAACCTCCCTTAGATTTCTCAACAAGTGCCGAGGGAATTGAACCAGAGAGGTTATTGTTCTTCAAGTTTCTGCCAAAACAGGGAAACTATAATATCCTTTTCTATTTTCTGATATAGAGGAATCAAAAGTTGTTCCACTAACTGATGAAGCAACTTACAATATCTTTAAGTGTTGTAATTGAGACAGAACATCAGGGATTTCACCATTTAATCTATTGTTTGATAAATCCCTGAAAACAAAAACATGTCTGCTTTTAAAAAGTCAAAATTTTGACACACGTAACAAAAGACATCTTGACATGTTCGTACACAGCAGACACAATGAAAAGATTTAAAGAGTTTAATTTATATCTGTTAAAATAAATTATACCATAAACCAGTCACAAATCACTACTGAGATATAGCTTTTAAAATAGTCACTGTAAAACTTAACCTACAATTTAGCCTTTTTTTTTACTCTTATCGAGTGTATAGTATTTACTTGTAAAATACAGAGGTTTTTTCTAGTCTCATCATTTATTGGATCAGGTGGAAAAATAAAACTTACAACTTCTCCAACATGCTTAGGTTTGAAATTGAAGGGTCTATCTTTCCTGACAACCCACTTGAAGATAAATTCCTGCTTTGCAGATCCAAAGGTTATATACGATACCATCTCAGATCCATAAAACCACTATATATAGTATTAATTTGAGAAGCATAACTTACAAAGTTGTGATTCTTGGAGACTCGTTTTTGCTATAACTACAATTCAAACCATCCCACAAGTAATCTACAGGGGTACATGGATCACCTTGCCAATTTCTTGTCACCCCATAAACTGATTTGATGGTTGTAATGGCATCATCTTTGTTATTTTTGAGCATAAAAGAGCAAAGGGTAGTTAAGATCATGTACAGAACAGGGTAGTCCAAATAAATGGTAAAGGGTAGTTAAGAACAATATGAAGATCATATTTTTGTGGCATACCGTCTCCTTTGAACGTATCTGATTGCGGGAAATCTATTACGCTGTAAATTTCAAGGGCATTGATGATGGGAGGCAGAGTTGAGTTTTCGGTTTTTTCAAGAGAATATATAATTTCTTTCCCACTGGAGGGTGACGAGCTATATAAAGTGCTGACAAGAAGATTCCTTGGTGAAAACTTTGAAAACCTCAGTTTACCATTTTCCAAGATGTTGAATTCTCTTGTCTCATTCGTCGCCAACTCTTGAATCTCCATGAAGTGCAAGTAAACATAGAATTGTTCAGTTGGATCATCTGGCTTCCATCTTATTACCAATGGAGCACTGACATTTGCTGGTGTAGCTGCAGTGCTCATCACAATAGCTGGCGGTCTGTACACGTCCTGGTCTAAAGCATCAGCAGAAATCGAAACATTTAATTCTGTCCATTCATTTATGTTGCCATATCTCCAAAAGCGATCATAAACATCGTAGTTGTATCTGAGAGAAAATCAAAATTAGTCCAATGAAATCAATCAGATGTGTAACGAAAAAGTTTAATAAAAGAAGTAGGATTCACCTGTAGCCTTTGTTTGAACCTATATCCCACCGCTCGAAAAATTCCAATGATCCAGATTCAGTGACGTAAATATTATTTGGCAAAGTTCTCAATTCTATGACTGATATAAACGGTGTTCCATGGCCTGTGTCAACAAGACAGAGCTGTAAATAATCCAGTGAAGGTACATGTATGATCTCCTTGTCCACTTCAATTGATCCATTGTTTATGCTCACCGTACCCCACAGGTTAGCCCCCAGATGAATATCAAACTCTGGAGTCTTATCCAGATCGTCATAATTTCCGTACAAAAAACTAACCCTGATCAGATACT